AGACTCTTGAGAGTCCCTTGGACTGCAAGGAGATCCAACCAGTCCATCCTAAAGGAGATCAGTCCTGGGTGTTCATTGGAAGGACTGATGCTGAAGCTGAAACTCCAATACTTTGGCCACCTGATGCGAAGAGCTGACTCATTTGAAAAGACCCTGATGCTGGGAAAGATTGAAGGTGGGAGAAGAAGGGGATGACAGAGGATGAGATGGTTGGATGGCATCACTGACTCGATGGACACGAGTTTGAGTAAACTCCGGGAGTTGGTGATGGACAGGGAGGCCTGGCGTGCTGCAGTTCATGGGGTTGCAAAGAGTCAGACACGACTGAGCGACTGAACTGAACTGAACTGGAGGCCCCAGGACAGTACACAGTGTAGCACACAGTAGGTTCAAGAAATTATTTGTTGAATAAAGTACCCACATGGTACCTGGCCCTCACAATACCCTTACGTGGCAGGGATTCACAGATTCTGACAGAAGTTCAAAGAGGTTAAAACACTTGCCAAAGGTCACAAAGTGAGCAAGTAGCTGAGTTAGGACTTGAACTCAGGTCTCTCTGACTCCAGTCTTTACCACAGTTCCCTATGGCCTCTACTTAGCTACTGGAGGGTGTGGAGAGCTGAGTCAGGATTCATATTCGGAACCCTAATTTCGTGTTGAGCATCTCTGATGTGCATCTGAATCCTGAGGAAACAGGCATGTACCTGAAACCCTGTGCATGGTCCCCAGCAGGATGAGCATACAGGAAGGGCCAGGGTTCAGAATGAAGGCGCATCGATAGGAGACTCCTCCTGGACAGACAGAGGCTGAGTCTAGACCTGCCTGGACTTTGGGGTTCTGTACTGCCCTGCTCAGCAGACGCATGAGTGTGGTTGAAGACAGAGAGGGCAGTCTTAGTTGATGATGAATCACAAAAGTAATTACTACCCTTGAGAGGGGACATGGGCCAATTCATTCATTCCCACCCTTGCTATAAACCCTTGTCCCTGAGATTCCTGCTGCTCTAAGGACAAAATAGCAAAACTTTTCAGGTGTTTTTTTAATGCCTGCTCAAATCTCCTGAGTGAGTTTCCCTTGATATAAAGCTTTTAGAGTTTTTTCTTCTCTCATTAATAGTCAACCTCCAGCTGCTGCTGTTCAATGATGCTCTGCCTGCCTTGGGCTCCATGAAGGCAAACACTGTGTCTGTCTTTTTCTAGACCAGGACTTCTCAACATGCAGTATACACGTAAATCACCTGGCATCTTCCTAAAAGGCAGATTCAGATCTAGTTAAGTCTGCCATCAGGTTGGAGAGTCTGCCTTTCTGATAGGCTCCTGGGAGATGGTGGAGCTCCTGGTCTACAGGCCACATCTTGAGTAATGAGGTGCTAGCACACTGCCAGGCTTCCAGTAGACCCACCACAAAATGACTCAATGGGACAAAATAGGTTAAAATAGGATATGGGTAAGTTTGTCAATGCTTCCCAGATGGCTCAGTGGGTAAAGAATCCACCTGCAATGCTGGAGATGCAGGGGATGCAGGTTCAATCCCTGGGTCAGGAAGGTCCCCTGCAGGGAGGGCATGGCAACCGACTCCAGTACTCTTGCCTGGAGAATCCCATGGACAGAGGAGCCTGGTGGTCTATGGTCCATGGGGTCGCAAAGAGTTGGACAGGACTGAGCAAGCAGCAAGCACATGCCAGTCTGTTAATGACCAAACGGGGCTTAGCTTTATGGACAAGTTGAAATGGGTAGTACCGTAATTTAAGGCCAAGTGACTTTATCCCTCATGACTGGCCCCAAGGGATCCTCATGGCACAGAGCACTAGGGAGGGCCCCACGTGGTCTCTGGCTGCCATGGCAGGTTGGGTTCATGCCCTTTGACCCTCAGTTTCTGCTGTCTATCTATTCTGTGCTGAGAGCTATGCTAGATGCTGGGGGAAACACTAACATGAACCAGACCCCATTTCTGCCTTTGGGGAGCTTGACCATCTGCTTAAAATTCAGCCCACATGCGCGCGCGCACACACACACACACACACACATGCACACATGCGCATGCACACACACACATTTAGACTATGCCCTCAGGCAGAGGAGCTAAGACAAATGTATTCACTGATGTCGTCATTTATTCAGGCAGAAATATTTATTGGGAAACTGAAATGTGCCAGGTACTGTATACACTGGTGAATAAGGCTGAGGTGGTGCCTATTTTCTGGCATTTAAAAATTTAACGTGTGTGTGGGGGGCTTGCAAGAGGTGAAGGGGGAGAAGGAGAGACAGAAAGACACACACACAGAAAGTAAAGAAGATTACAAACTGCAATGTGTGCTTTGAGGAAAGGAACAAGATGCTATGATGGAGAATGCCACAGACTTACTGCAGAAAGATGCAGCCAAGGATGAGATGCCCACAGGACTGTGAAGCCTCGGGCGGGCCCTGAAGCCGAAGGGAAGAAGGTGGGGGAGGCCAAGTCTGGTGGGTGGGGGAGGACAGTCTGCGGGTGGGGCAGATCACAAGGCAGTCAGTTCATCCACCTGTCAGAACGGCCGCTACCAAAAAGGCAAGGGACTTCCCTGGTGGTCTAGTGGTTAAGAACCCGTCTGCCAATGCAGGGGACATAGGTTCAACCTCTGGTGCAGGAAGATTCCACACACCACAGGGCAACGAGCTCGTGGGCCATGACTGATGATTTGAAGCACTGCGACGACTGAAAGCTCTTTGCCGATGCTCTGGAACAAGAGCAGCCACGGCAGTAAGTCTGTGCACCGCAGCTAGAGAACAGCCCTGCTTGCCGTAACCAGAGAAAACCTATATGCAGCAACAAAGACCGGAGCAGTCAAAATTAATTACTTAATTAAAAATTGTAAAAAAAAAAAAGGCAAGAAACAACATAGGTCAGAAAGGATGTGGAGAAAAGGGATCACTCGTGTGTGGTCAGTTGCTCAGTTGTATTCAGCTCTTTGCCATCCCATGGACTGGAGGATGCCAGGTTTCTCTGTTCATGGGATTTTTCCACTCAAGAATACTAGAGTGAGTTGCCATTTCCTTCTCGAAGGGATCTTCCCGACTCAGGGACCAAACCTGAATCTCCTGCGTTATCAGGCAGGTACTTTACCATTGAGGCAAACTAAAAACAGAACTATCATACATCTAGCAGTTCCACTGCTGAGCAGTTATCTAAAGAAAACAAAAACACTGATTTGAAAAGATACAGGTACCCCAATGTGCACAGCTGCCTTCTTTACCATAGCGAAGACATGGAAGCAAACTAAGTGTCCACTGCCTGGCGAGTGGATAAGGAAGATGGGGTACGTATATACAAGGGAATACTACTCAACCATGAAAAGAATGAAATTCTGCCATTTGCAGCAGCATGGATGGACCTAATAGATATTATGTAATTAAAAGAAGTCAGACAGGGGAAGCCAAAAA